TGCAAGCATAGCTACCTCTCACAATTAAGGGGATGCACGTTGCCCCCTGTCCTCATCCGCGGTGGTCAGGGAGTAGGGAGGGGCCACCGGTCGGGGGCGCCGGCTAACACAAAGACAGAGCATTTTGCCAGTAGCTGTGTCATTGTCGCGCAGGGGCCATGCACCTGGATGAAACCGGGCTTTGTTGAAAAGCCCAAAGAAAAAGCCCGACATTCTCCCCTGAGAGTCCGGCGTCCTCTGGACTGCATTCAATCCAGATACAGACGACTATTGAGAGGGTCCGGCAGACCCTCCAAAGAGAATTTTTGGCTTTTTTTTTTTGCGATTTTCATTGAAGCCCAATTTAAGCCCAATTGACTATTTAGTTCAACAGAAGAGCAATCCATGACTCCTTTCACAGGCATTGGTGGGGGGTGATAGAATCAATAGGTTAGCTCTGGTCCTTCAGGACACATCCATTATGATTGGAGCGATACAGAGAAGAAGATTAGCATGGTCCCTGCCCAAGGATGACACACATGAATAGAATCTGTTAGCTCTGCCATGCATCTTCTTCTTCTTTCTTTTTTTTTTTTTTTTGAAATAACCATGGTGCTCCATCTATTGGCGGGGAGCGTCACCTGCTGGAAACCAGGTCCAGCATCCCGTAAATACATATTTTTTGAAACCTTAAGCATGGAACCTTCAAAACAGATCATTGTGCTGGAAACGAGGTCTAGCGTCCCATGGTAGCCCTCGGCATAGTCAGCGCTCAGTGCTTCTCGTCCATTGCAAAGTCAGGCAGGGAGGCCTTGATTTTTTTTTATATATTTTTTTTAACCTCAGTCCCCCCGCTAGGAGAGGCTATAAGAGCACCCCCACCCCCTAGTGAGCTTCCTGGTTGTTCCAGTCTATTGGTGGGGAGCCGCACCTGCTGGAAACCGGGGCCTTGACTTGCCAAAATGCCTATCAGAATTTGACTGTGCATCAGGAAGTAATGAGAAGTTGTCTCTCTTTCATAAAAGCAAGAAATTGTATCGCAAAAATAGCATTTTTTTTATTTTTTTTTTTGACATAAAAAAAAATAGCCAAATTTTGGCCCTCAGTTAACCATCTCTCCGGTCGGAAAAAAAAAAATAATAATAAAAAAAAAAATTTGCAGAGAGGCATTTGAATTATTGGAAAAAAAAAGAGCTCTGGAACAAGCTGGAGAGAAGTACGGGGGTTGCAGCTTATTGAACCCGAGTACAGAAAGGTAGGCATCTGAGCACATAATGTTAATTGGGATTCGGGAAGGGGAAAATAATAAAAATCAGGTTGAGCATTTGACTTTGACTGGGTAAAAAGGAAAAGGTTACAACCAGCCAGCAGCAAGGCATAAGGCCCTTGGCCCAGGTTGAAAAGGGCCTGCACGCGCTGGAAACTGTCTGCGGCCATGCTAATGAAGGCGGGCCCCTGAAAATCCGACGAGGCCAGAAATTGAGGCCAATATGGGCAGGCAAGGCATCGGGGGTTGGTTGCTGCACGCAGCATCTCCCATCGACCGGTAGACCCAATCGGCTGCAGATTCTTTGCTGGGCCCAGGGCACTTATAGCCGAGCCCCAGGCACATTCTGGAAGGGCTCTGGGCGGAGCTGCTGGGACAGAGGCCGAGCATCCAGAAGCTGCCTCACCCAGCCAGCCAGAAGACAAAAGGAGGTGAGCTGCCTCACTTCCTCACTTTCTGACTGGCTGGATGGCGGCAGCGCTGCTGCTGCTCCGGAGTCCGGCAGAGTGGAAGGGTGCTGGCGGGGCACGAGAAAGCAGCTGCTTGGGCGCAGCTTGCATGCAAGGCAGCCATAGCCGGGCTGCCTGCGCCACAGCGTGGGGGGGATCGAGCGGTGGTCCTTAGGTGTCAGACGGTGATGTGGGGGAAGTCGAGGGATGAGCGGGGCATAAGAGTGCTTGCCTGGTGGTGATGAAAGCAGGCCGCCATAGTCGGAGTCTTCATTTGCCATCGGGCTGCTGATCTTCATGAAGACCTGTTGTCGTCGTAGTAAAGTCTAGGTGATAGGTGCTGTCTGATTATAGTCTGGGCGCCGAGCGGCACATAGGAGAGCCACATTGGGGACATTAATGTTGGAGGCGAGGAGGGGGCTTTAATTGTCAATTGGATCATTGCTTTGCTCTTATTTCGTGTATCTCCTGTTGCATTCTTCTTTCAGTATGAGCCCATGATTCAACTGTCAATTTGGTTTCAGTATGAGCCCATGACTGTGCTTTCCTTGAATAGCCGTGTTTACTGCAGGAATCCCCAGCTGACTTCACCCGGTAACAGCCACTTCGTTATAACGTACATTTTATATTTTTTAACCAAATGAAACCTACTTATTTGGCCCTAAGAATGTCACCATCTGAAAATGCCAGACCCCCATGGACGTATCTGGACTTTTAATGAAATGGATGTTCGGTGGCCAGAATTACTAGGTGCATAATCTGCACCTGAGACGTGTAGAGGTCCAGGTCCGCTTCTAGCAGGGGTAGTTTTTCCCTTTCGAGTCCCTGGAATACAGAGGATGGTTAGACTTTTTTTTTTTTTTTTTTTTTGGTTAGACATGTTCTCCGCACTATTAGAAAACAAGAGGACTTTTAAAAAAAAGAAAAGAAAAAAGGGGAACTGACGGGGGCCTGAGGCCAAATTTAGAAAATGGGGAAAAGCCACCTCATCGGACGGTGCAAAGTCATACAGGGCTTTACTCTCACAGTGAATACAACGATGCACACTTTGGAACCACGACCCGCAGTGCATCACCCTTCTGCCTATCACTGCTCAAGGAAAAAAGAAGTAAAAGGAATCTATTTTTTTACCCAAAACTCAGAAAACTTGTACAACCGTAAAAGGCAAAAAAAAAAAAAAAAAAAAAAAAAAGAGGTCATATTTGGCTCACCATGGTCGAAGGCGCGGATCGTAGGGTGCGCAATCAAGAGGAAAACTTCTCTTCCCATACTCATCGACCACGTTCTGCAAACACGTTTGAGAGTGTAGATCAATGTAGATCAACGGCAGCAAAACGGAATAAAAAAACAAAGGACAAGGGCAGCAAAAAGTCCAAGGATGCATAAGTTCCTGGTCAACGTACTTTGTCTGCAGCAGTTAGTACTTTGTGACTTTGTGGTAACACACAGAATGCCATCTCATGTCACACGATGTTATATCACGTCACGCACAATATCATGTCATGTCAAACACATTGGGCCTCTCTCCAGTACACAACTCTACAATGAGTCTACATGTATCTGGAGCTCATAAACGTCCCGATACGTCCAAATTGTTGGACTCCTTTGATATGCACCTGCTCCAGACTGGCGTCCAAATGCATGTAAAATGTTGAGTAGTGTAGTGAGGCCCATTGTCACATCATGTCACACACAAAGTCATATCACGTCATGTCACACAATAACGAGAGGGAGAAACAGGAAAAAGAAAAGAAAAGAAAAGAAAAAGGAGAGGAAAAACTATTTATTTATTTATTTATTTTTAGACAGTGAAAGGTGCAATTGAGAGACGAATATAGCTTAGTTTATAATACTTATATATATTAGAAAAAGAAAAACAACTATTTGCTTTGGAGGGGGACCCCCCCCCAAAAAAAAAAAGTATTTTCGTCATCCATCCAACTTGTACAAAATTTTGAGCATCACGAATTGCATGCATTTTTTTTCTTTCCTAACTAATTAAAATAGATACTACACTTGATCTTAGCATGCATTTTTGTTGCAACCATATCTGTCACGCGTGAGTGGCTTTCGCACAAAGTCGAAGGATCTCCTCAAGCTGACACTTGAGTTCCGTAGCCTCCGGAATCCAGAGTCGGTAGGGTGTCTGATGGTGGACACGATAGTCGGGCACGAACTGGATAGAATGCTCAACACCGCGCATCGCGGGGATCCCGCAGTATGAGAAATGCGGGGGAAAGACGTCGTGGTATTCTCGAATCAAGTCGCGGATGGCGGACTCTAAGTCGGTCGTGAACCGCGCGAGTTCCTTAGCGTCTGCATCAACGCGAGACGTATGTGTGGACTTGGCAGTGGACGGCGTAGGAACCTGAGATGTCGACGAGGTATCCGCAGACTTGGGGGTAGATGTGGAGATAGGAGCCGCGAAGATGGAGGAAGGGTGAGGGGGGTCGGGTTTAAGGAGATGAGCTTAACGTTGGGACAGAGGGGATCGTAGTCGAGAAGATTCATGATATTCACCGAGTAGAGGGTGACGCCCTCCTGACGCAGGAAGTGAGCGAACTGGCGAGGGGAAGTGAAGGCAATGTCTGGGTACGACCGTAGGAACAAGAGTCATAAGGAGGCAAGTTAGGAGGTGTGTCGCCCGTGGTACCAATGACGAAGACACGTTGGGTCTGACTGCACTTCATTCTGAGAACGATTGTCTCTGTCGCTCATTCGGCCTCTGTGTCATGAAACTCGCGAGACCAGGTAGTGCTAAGGGTAAAGTCGTACTCAGTCTCCAACACATCGAAGTGTGCGGAGGAATAGTAGCGGTGAGACGCTTGGGTACTATTTGGCAGCTGAAGGGTAAGGGAAAAGTGGAGGTCAAGGACCATCTGATCGAAAAAGCGTTGCATCTTGTTATCTTTGAGGGTAATGGAGATAGGATAGCAGGGCCCAAAGGTAGCTAGGCGAGCTTCCTCAACCACGCAAGGGTCAATGGAATCGCCCTGCGAGCCAGAGTCTCATAAAACACAGTACACCCTCGTAGAGATATCGAGGTGAATGAGAATGATAGGGAGGGTGAGATCATGGTCAAAGAGGAGAGCGAGAAGACGATGCAAAACATCTATATGTCTCGTAAGTCGCTCCTGACGAGCCTGAAGAATGCTTAAATCGAAGAGACATGACACAATACCATCGTGAGTCACCAGCTAAGCACTACAACGAGTTGTGCAATTAGCACGGCGTATCCTAAGTCTCGGAGGGGAAGGACTAGATGCAGCGGTCTGCTGTAGGGCAGACGGTACCTCGATAAACGACGCGGTAGAGGGAACTTTGTCCGTCATGTCCTGAGGATCCCCTAATGTGGTAGCCAAAGGGGCAAACCGCGACTCAGTGGTCGGGTACACTGCACTGTGGCACCGAGGGGGGACTGCGATCGACACTGACGAGAAATATCAGCCTCGTATCGATTGAGGGCAACATGGTATAGGCACCGCGAGGAGGTGTATCCATCCTTGCGGCAATGAATACAACCACGACGTGCCTTGATGATGACATGCTCATCAGGTATCAAGGCTCCACGAGGAGAGGAGAGACTCTGCGGGAGGTCCACCTGAGGGACAATGAACGTGCAAGCACCAGGTTGTGCCGACTTGTTGTGAGCACGGCCCATAACGAACATGTCCTCCGCAAGCGATCGACCATCAGGACAGTCTCAGCATCCAAGTGGTACTGGATGACGCCGCGGAGCTCGAGGTCCTCGGGGGCGTCCCCAAGGGTAGGGCCAAGCTCGGTCGAGGCGTCGTCGCCATACTCGAGCGCATTGTACTGTGACTGTAACACCAAGAGCATGGTGCTCCAGGCTAAGTCGGGCGGCGAAAACGTTCAGCGAAAGAGGAGCGACCTTGAGTGGTACCGCGATACCGGGTGGTGGCGGCAGGCCGCAAAGAGGACTGGGTGCAAGAGAAACGACTCCGCATCCTCTGGTTTTGACGAGCAGCCTTGTATGCCTGCTCTGCCAACGAGAATGTTTGTTGCCATAGCTTTATGAGGTAGTCATTCGGGAGGCTGACAAGAAACCGGTCGGTGAGAGTCACCTCCGACAGGAACGTCTCATCACATGTAAGGCGGGCGTTCTGAAACATCCGCATGTGACGTTCCAAGTCGGACGGTGTTGAGGACCTGGTTCATCCAGTCTCGGTAACTCGATCTAGGGCATCAGTCGCGTTGTTCTGAGGGCCAAAGCGATCTTGAAGAAAGGTCGTGAAGTCCTCGAAAGTGGGAACCTCACCCCTACGGCAACGATTGGCATAGAACTGCCATTTCGTCAAAATGGACATCTTTTATTTTTTGAACGAAATTGCAACCGAGTTTTTTGGCCGAAAACTCGTCAAACTTTATTGTTCCTGAGGGTCCGGCGTTTTACAAACGCTGGACCCCCTGGCTATACATGGACCTAGCTTGAGACCAGGTACCTCTAGACAGTCCTGCCTAGAGGTTCCTGGTCTCAAGCTAGGTCCATGTACAGCCAGGGGGTCCAGCCTTTGTAAAACGCTGGACCCTCAGGAGCAACAAATTTTGACGAGTTTTTGGCCAAAAAACTCGGTTTCAATTTCGTTCATTTTGACGAAATGGTCGTTATAGTAGCTCTCCCACGGGGTAGAGGGGTCGCCTCGCAATATGCTTGCAAGCAGATTGCACCACATCTCTTGAGTAGTTGTCAATGTCAGTGTGTGCATAACTATCTGCAACCACTGAGACGCGCGGAGTGTGTCATCTTAGTCGGGTACGTCCAAGAGGCGCACAAGACGGGGTCCACTGTACTGACGGCGAGCGGAGAGAGGTTAGGGTGCTTGCACGACGGCAACAAAGGTCGGGACTGGTCCAGGGGTAGAAGTGGAGGCAGCCTGTGAACCGTGGCCACTGGTAGAGGGACCAACAGATGTGGAGGCAACGCTTATGGTTAGTTGTGATGGAGTGGCCGAAGAAGAAGAAAAAGGGTGAGTAGGCTATGAAGGGTGAGGTTGTCTCAGGGTAAGTATCTCCGCCTGGATCTGCGCAAGGGTTGGCCTGCAAGGTAGCCACTCGCTTGGAGCGCGAGGTCGGAGGTGGAGGAGTTGGAGAGGGTAGCCTGGCGGCAGGAAAAGTCACGAACTGAAGGGTGCCTTGAGGTGGGCATTAGGACATAGGAGGAGGAGGTAGAACTCTGGGCCGTAATTCCACGACCGGCGAAGAGCTGGGAAGCAGCACCGGGGTGGGTAGATGAAACTGCCTGGCCAGATACCGGTATCTGGGTGGCGGTACCTATAGCAGTGGTCGAAGTGGCAGGTGGGGTGGGGTCCGACGAAGGTGCCGCAACAGACGGGACCGTTTGAGCAGCAGCGACACTCACCACTGTTGAGCGTGAGTGTTTGGGCCTGAGTTGTAGAGGAGGGAGAACTACCATGTCTCCGTCTGTGGAGTCGTGGAGAACTGTAATGGGAGCCGGTAGCGGCGGTAGGGGATGTAGTGTGAGAGCGTAGGGGGAAGCGATGAGGAGAGGCCTTGAGGCGGTGGACGCCAAGGGCAACCGTATTGAGTTGCGCTTCAATGGGTGCAAGCACATCGAGTCGCACTTGCATAGGTGCAAGGAGGGACTCGATAATGGTGCGAAGGTCCATTAGGTCCACAGGGGCCTGACCCTGGACCATTGGGTGGATGGGCGCCTGCGAGATAGACGGTGCCGCAGCGATCTCCTCAGAGGTATTCGCGTCCGTGAAGAAAGGAGGAAGGGGGGTAGACATAGTGGAAGGTGGAGAGAGGTGGGGAAAGAGATGGGTTGCTATATGGGGAAAGGGCCCCACCGGTCAGAGGGAGGGGACCGTGGGAGCGGAGTGGGTGGTCGTGAGTCGCCTTTTGCCGTGACCAGCAGGTCGCGCATGAGAGGGTGGCGTGGAGCCAGTCGAAGGGAGATGATCCATTCGGGTCCAAGGTGCTCGACGGGAAGAGCCGGGAAAGAAGGGGAGTTAGGAGAACCCTAAACCCTAGAAAAACCCTAATTGGACGTAGGGAAGATTAGGGGGGAGTAGTCGCAACTTAATCAAGAAGAGAGAGTACCGACCATGGAGGGGAGGGGGAAAGAAAAATACATAAATAGTGAATTTTCGAGATAAAAGTGCAAGGAATATGAGCGAGAGCGATAGACAGAAATCCAAAAGTGCAAAATCACGAAGTAGTCCAGATAGTCATGCACCAAGCAGAGAGTACAATGCAGTGAATGCACCAAGATGCCATCCAGTGCAATGAACTCGTATGGCAATGTCAACGTTCTCTGGCCACACCGACACAATATCTAATGTTGCCCCTATTGATTTGCGCCCAGCGCCCAACCTACACTACTCAATCTATCTAGCCTATCTACATTCATGCAACAGAATCACATTGAAGTTGAAGACTGATGTACGTGAGGTCATCACCAATGCAGACCGCTAGCATACACCAGGTACGTTCTTTCTCGTCCCCTCATCACACCCTGTCTCCCTTCGGCAAGCGCCTCCTACTCGAAGACCACCATCACCATCACCGCGCCTGCGCCCCATCAGCCCGATGATGGCCGTCGTGCGCCCGCTGCCACTGCAACACCCCTCTCACCTGTTGTGCCCATGCACACAACCAGCCTGCCGCTAGCGCAGCTACCACACGACAAAGCAGCAGTGTGGCCGCATTGCTTACTTAGACCAGAATGTCCTGCCCCTGGGCTCTCACATTCCTATATGGAAAGTGTGCCCTGTCGTTGGCTGTCCTGGGCCTGGCGTGTAGGGGCCCCGTAGCTTCAAGTTGGCCCAAAGTGTTTGCGCGAAGACCCAGTTTCAGACATTGTCTTGGGCCTCGTGCAGTTAGGCACGTCCAAGTAGCTCTCCATGCTCCAAGTATTTGCCGCATACTTATTGGCTCGTGGTAGATGTGTGATGACAATGCTGCATTCTCATTGGTCCGCGACCATTGCATGATGTGTCGGTCTCCCACTGCATGTGCCCATGGTGCAACCACTTGAGCCCCGGGTTCAACCGTACAGCGCAGTTGTTGCTTATAGGACGAGCCACAGAAGGCTCACGTTGCTCTGTAACCAACTGGCGTGTTGCAACTGTCTGATGCCCCACATATGAAAAATGTTGAAAGTAGGTCTCTTGTGGATGTACAGGCCCGCCTTCACTTAGGGTGGGCACGAGGATTGCCTGGGGCCGCAACCCAGAACATTTGCATGCTCGAGAAGGGCCTTGCGATGGCTCATTCCTCGCAAAAACAAATAATAAAAATAAATAAATAAATAAATAAGCAAAGGATGAAGGGAAAAATAATATTTATTTTCGGGGATTTTTTAGCGGCATTTTCCCACTTCCCATGGGGTCAAGATGTGCCAAGAGAAGAGAAAAGACCAAGAAAAGCACACTAACTTTCAGAATACCCCAAATCAAAATTTTCAGAAAAATAAATAAATAAACAAATATACGAGTAGGTGAAGAAGAGTAAAGAGAAAAAAAAGTCTTGGATTTTTCAAAAGCTTTGGCAACATTCTGTTAACCTCGTGGAGTCGAAATGTGCAATCAAAAAAATGACTAAGTGAGAAAATTTTGTCATCACTTCGTTACCCCCAAGGGGTGTTGGAAGAAGAGACCAATAAGAAAAAGAGAAAATTTCAGCAGCACTTCGTTACCCCGAAGGGGTCAAAATGTGCGCCGACAACAAAAATGGGTAAGTCCTAGAAAGATTTAAGGGCGCCGCAGATAAATTCGGATTTTCAGAAAAGAAAACAAATAGTAATAAAAGTAAATCAAGAAAATGAAAAACGAGGAGGTAAAAAACTTTTAAAAAAAAGAGTTTGAATTTTTGGAATCAAAGAGGAACAAAAAGTAGAGAAAAAGAAAAAAAATTGAAGTTCGGGAGGGACGGTTGAGAAAGAGGTGAACAACGAGAGAAAGAGGTGAGAAATAGAGAAATATTGAGATGGTAGATGGGGGGGGATGATGGGATTTGAGTTTGGGGGAGGAAAGAGGTGGGGATGGTGGGAGAATGAGAGAGAAAATGTGAAAAATGAGGAGAGTAGAATAAGAGATTAGTAGAAGAGGTTAAGTGAAGAGATGGTGGAAGACGAGGGAGCAGTGGAAAGGTGGGGAAAGAAGTAAAGAGAGAGGGGGGGGGAGAGTGAGAGAGGGTGAGGGATTAGTGATAGAAGTAGAAAAAGATGATTAGAGGATGGAGGGGAGAGAGAGAGAGGGGGTGGGAGAGTGGGTGAGTGAAAGAGAGGTGATACCGGCGGGAAAAACAAAGTACACGGCACAGCGAAGAGAAGGCAGGTGGCAGCAACAAAAGGCAGACAAGTGGAGGCACACAAACACACGCGCGCCACGGCCAAGGCCGCCGCATGCACGCGTGCCCGCTCGCCCCGCCTCGCCCTGCTCCTGGATATATATCAAAGATCTGGGAGTGCAATTGCCAAGATTTGAACCTGGGCAGCTGCTGGCTATACGTGTGTGTAGCCAATGCCCTAACACACTGGCCAAACTCTGTGTTTGAGTTGGTAGCGTGGCACGTTGCTGTTGAAGTGTCCCGCCAACTATATACACCGTCCCCGCCTCCCCCCCTCCCGGTCGGCGAGCAACGAGCGCCGAGCAGCAAGCGACACGGCAACAGCGGTTGGGCTTGGGCTGCTATTTGCCCTCCCCCCGACCGTGGGTGCTGTTGCCTGCACACGTGGCCATCTGCAGTGCCACGTGGCAGCTTGCTGAGGATTTTGAAGACCCTCCTGACTAGGGGGCTGCACTACAGTGGGATCTGGGTGGCTGGTCAAGATCTCAACACAGCCAGATTATTATTATGATTTTTTCTACTACTGCAACAACAGTTTGGCAGCAGTTGAAGATCCCCTTGGCTAGGTGGCTATGCTACTGTGGAATCAAGGTGGCTGATCAAGATCTCAGCCAACCCTAGATTATTATTATTATTATTATTATTATTATTAGTATTATTATTTTTTGCTGTGGCAGCAGGCTGCCAGCACCTTGAAGGCCAATGGTTGGCCAAGAGCAAATAATGCTACAATATCTGCTCTTGGCCGCGCTTCCGAAAAAGCACGAAAATCTCCCTGTCGGGGATTGCACTTATGGGAGGGCTGGGTGGGAGTGGGTTCGTTCCCGCTCTGATACCAGTGTGACAGACCCATCAGGATGGCAGTCGGTCAGGATCAAGATGGAGGGATGAGGAAGGAGATGGAGATGGAGATGGAGAGGACAGCGCAACTCCAACGCAGACTCGACACTCACATACTCCAAACTGTGCAATGAAGAAATAAATGGAAATATAGACTGCAACTAGGGTATACCCCCAGCGGCCTGATTGGACTGGACTGGTACCGACAGTGGTACCGGGCAGGACTGGACTGAATATCCCTGTGGCCTGTAAGATGAGGCCAACGGCCTGGTCCCACAGGCCGAATAGGCAAATAGCCCTGGCTATAGGCCAGGGTAGCTAGAGGCCCACTGCATAAGCTATTACAGACACTACTTGCGCACCGCCCATGGGTTCGGGTCCATGGTTGACGTATGTTGGGTCTGGGCTATGAGATGTTTGTCTGGCGCTCTTGGTTCATGGGGTTGTTTGAGTGCTTGTACACTTGTGGATAATTGTTCATTTGCCTTTCTGTCCAGCATTGCACACAAATCGGTTAGTTTCCACAGTAGCTCGGTAGGTTTGATGGTAGATTTGCATGGTTGAGGTTGTGTTCAAAGTCATTCACGTAGTGGGATGCAGACTGAGTGACTTACACCCTGGCTATAGAATCAGGAACAATCAATGAGAGGAGACTTAGTACAGTCTGTGGTCAGGGTTGGTAGGGCTGTTGGGGTTGAGAGCATACATGCAAGCGCACGTCGTGCGGGCGGTTCCCTACGTGCGGCGCACGACGTGTGCAGAGAACGACCCGTCACCCCCCTCAAAAAAAAAAGGCCGGGGTCGAAACGGTGCGTTTGAGGCCCCCCGCCAAAATTATAAGCGAGATGAAATTTTTTTTTACAGGAGTACTGCCTCACCTTGCTCCTCCTCCCCTTCCCTCATCCTCCATGTCTCCTCCTCCCTTCTCCTTTTCGTCTCCTCCTCCTCCTCCTCCTCCTCCTGTTCGTCCTCCTCGTCCTGCCCTTCCTCATCCTCCTTGTCTCCTCCTCCTCCTCGTACTTCCTCATCTTCCATGCCTCCTCGTCTCCTTCCCTTCCTCGTGTCCTCCCCTTCCTCGGCGTCCATGTCTTCTCCTCCCACTCGTCCTCCTCCTGCCCTTCCTCTTTTCCCTCCGTCCATCTCTTCTCCTCCCCCATCTCGACGACTCCTCCTCGTCGTCCTCGCTATCCTCGTCGTCCTCCTCATCGACATCCTCCTCCTCCTCTCCATATCCCCCTCTCCTTGCCATATCCCCATCTTCCTGTCATACGCCCCCCGTTCCCCCTCCCAAAAATAATAATAATAATAATAATAATAAAAATAAAAAACCTGCACGATTCCGCACAGGCACCCCCCGCACGGAACTCCGTACAGAACTCCTCACGAATGTGCGGCTCGTGCGGTTGCAAGTATGGTTGAGAGTAGAGATTAGGTGGGCCCATTGCTAGTTGGAGATCTGGAAGGGGGAGCGCTAGGCACAGGAGGTGTTAGATGAGGGCTCCTCCTTAGGACAGCTCGCCCATGGAATGGAATGGTTGATGAGAATGAGACTTCGTACACTCTACGGCAGATGTAGTCTGAAAACACTAGGACCCTACAGACCGCCCACAGAATATAGGAACAGTTGATGAAAGGCGACGTAGTACAGTCTATGGCCGGTGTTAGTTGGGCTCTTGTGATGGGGAGGCTCTCTAAGGGGATCAACTGGGGTCGCCTGCCTCCCACGTCCTCACAAAAAATTCAACAAACAAGAAACAGCTCACCACCAACAACAAGTAGTAAAAACAACAATGTACACAGTGAACAACCTAACAACAAACAACAGTAACAAAAGTCGTGTACACAACGGTAGGAACACAAATAGGTCCACCTATGGGACTTGTAGTGAAACGTCTATACCTAGCACCTGAAGTACCCGGGCAACAGGCTTGTTCAACTATGCTTCGATCAGGGCTGAGTGGGGTGAGTGGGGCTCAGATTAGCCCTGGTACCTGCAACTGCTGTCCGGTCAAGGTAACCCCCAGACTGGAGAGTGGCGATCCTGAGTGGTAGACACTGAGGTAGGATAGTGGGAGTAGGGGTGCTTTGGGGAGAAATACAAGAGTGGTAGGTGGGGAGGGAGTCCCATAGGAATAGGGGGGCTCAGCCACATGGCCGGGTGCCGAAGGTGACTCTCATACGTCTAGAATCCAGCCTCTACAAAAAAAAAAAAAAAAAAAAAAGAAACGACAGTGAGATCATCTGCAAACATTATGACTGTTGGGAATTGTATGTCGTGAGGGGTGCCCGTGTTGAGCTCTGGTGATCTTTGAATTGAAGGATCCTCGTGCAAGGAAAATGAGCGATAACGAATTCCAGAAACCAAACAGCATCATAGACATGAAACCAGATAGTCGTGACCTCGAACCAAAAGCTGAATTGCAACTCGAGTTCCACCAAATAAGAGCACAGCAAAAGCTCACAAGTGACAATGTTGGAATAGACTGTCTCATCATCATCAACAATGAACCAATGTCGATTTCCTATCTGGCGCTCAGCGCCCAGGCTACGAATGGCAGATCCTATCTAGCCTATCTACAATCCCGCTGGTGACGTCAACAGCTCCCCGAAGTACGAGCAGATCTCGGCCAATGCCGTTCGCCTCAAGCACCAGGTATGTCTCACACATCACTCACAACCTCCTTTCCCCACACAGATGCCATGTGCACCCAAGGACCACCATGCGCCCCATCCAGCACCTCGCAGGCCAGCTCGGCTATGGCTGCCTGCGTTAACCCTGCTTGCCCGTGAGCATGTGGGCGCTTGCCTGCCAGTAGCGTAGCATGTAGCAAGTGCCCGAATGCCCAATGCGGAGGCAGGCACTTTCCTATATGGAAGTGGCCTGCCCGCTGAGTGTTGCCTGGCTGCACTGGGGCTGTGGCATACTGTGCAGCCACACGGGCCCTGCAGGGCCCGTCCCGGACCTCCAGCCTGTTTCCCTACAGGGAAACTTCCAGGCTCTTGCCTGGAAGCTTCCTTCTGACAGGGCCTACAGGCCCCAGCCTGTTTCCCTACAGGGAAACTTCAGGGAACTTCCAGGCTCTTGCCTGGAAGCTTCCGCAGGGTCTAGGCCAGCGGAGAATTGGCACGGCCAGCCTCCTGCACGGGCCAGCACTATAAAGGACTGGCCCGCCCTGCAGGAAGAGGTCAGTAGGCAGAGGTAGTCTTCAGGATTCGGCCGCAGCACTCAGGAGGAGCGCTGCAGTAGTCTTCAGCACTAGGCAGTAGTGGTAGCGCTAGCTGTAGTCTTCGGCGCTGGGCGCCATAGCTGTAGCTGTAGTCTTCAGCGCTGGGCGCTGGTAGGTAGTAGATCGCAGAGTGGGAGAGAGACTGGCGGAGGCCAGTGTTACTTACCTGTGGTGCCATCGCTCCAGCTCCATCTTCG